CTGGCAACGTGGACACCAGAAGCTGGAAGACAATCTTCTCAATCTGCTTCAGCTGCACAGCCAAGCTGTATCTTACACAAGTACGCAGCACAAAAGGGGCCAAGAAATACTGCATGAACCACATACAGATCACAAAGAGGTTTTCAGCAGCTTGCAAACATCATCGAACAGGTCAAAGTAATATATTGGCACTGTTTATGCACTAATCCTAAAATGCATGAGTTCAGTAACAGCACCGTAGGCATCACAGAAAAGCATGCTACAAGAGAAGTTTAAGATCAGCTACATATAACTTTTGATTGTTAGCATTTTCTCTGTGCTTTGACAGCCACTCAATAAATGTTAGAATGCTGACCCACAACATCACTACTTAGTGCCAAATGCCTCTCAAATCCACTTGCAGTGGTTGGCTCATCTTTATTTAAAATTCTCCTAATCAGAACAGGGAGCACCAGTATGTCTGTACTGTGCACTTTCCCAATACAACATGCAGCACTGATTTTTCCAGTATTAGGTCCCACAGTCTTCTCTAAATGTATGGGAAGTGTATCTGTTAAACTTTATGCTATTGGTCTTTACCAAAGAGAAGCTTCCGTAACTTTGGGCATAAGTCTTGGCTGTAGACTTTGATCCCTATAGAAATGTTGCTAACACCACCTTCTGCCTAAAACAGATGCTTTCACAGAATCAACTGAGAAGGCAAGAAAGCTGAAAACTGGCTTGGGAAGGGATTGCTGAGAACCAGACAGATCTTGCCCTCCAGATCTTGAGAGAGGACTCATGAACCTACCTAACAGCAAAAGGCTTTCCAATGTTAGATTCAAAATCAAAGACAACAAGAAGTGCTTTAAAAGTTACCTGCCCTACTGGCACTGGAAACCACTGAGAAACACAAAAGAGACTAGTGACAAAACTTTGGAAGACACTACATAGCTAGCAAATTGCTCACTTCATTGTGGGTTTAGATATTTATCACAAATCTGTGTATACAAATAATGAATAAACACTCAGACTGATAAGGAACCAATTGCTTACAGAATACCTAAAGCATCAAGTTTTAAGCACCTACCATGGGTGTCAACAAGGACCAGTACCTCCAGAATAATTCCTGTTCCTGGCAGGGACTTTAACCACTGCCTATACTGAAGTTACAAAACCACTTACCACTTTTTGTTGATTACAGGGATCACAGGCTTAATGAAAACATATGGACAGCTGCTAATTAAGTACTCATGTTGCCACTTACTTTGCATTAAATCAACATCCTTTCCCCCTAGCTTAAGTACAATAAAAATTAAAGGCTCAGTTCCCATTTTATCTCATGGAAGTGGGCAATATGAAAAAACCTGTGTTCCATACCCAAAGAACACAGGCATCTCCAACCCCAGAATAGAATTCAGAGTCTCAAAACAGGCACATCAAAGAGCAAAATCTAAAAGCCTCACAGGGACGCCAGCACAAAAATGCTATAGGCAGCCATGCATCCAAACTCCCAGCCTTTTCTAGAGAGCATGTTCCCAAAACACAGTCCCAGCAGACAACTCCAACCACGTAATTCAGAAGTATCTAAATGTTCTTTGAATGACTTGTCCGTCCCCCCCCCCTTCATCCCCCTAGAAGAGGATGTTGCCTTTTATATAAGTTGGAACATTAGATCACTTGCACAGAAAGAGAAATAAATATTTTAGGGCTTTCTCAGCTTGAATAGATTCAATTAAAGATTCCTCTACTCCACCTGTTAAGAGAAACTGCTCCTGGCTGAGGGAAAATGATGGTCAATGAGGGAATTCTTACTCCTCCTGTGGGAGGTTACCACAGACAAACACAGTTTACTGGATAGAACAGTAAAAAAAAAAAAAAAAACATAACCAAAAACCCCAAGGAGACACAGACTGACTTGTTTTGGGTAGGCATGTTGTATTCCAACAAACAGGAGCAGAGCACCCAGGTGACAGCAGCTGGGGGATCTGAAGAAAGAACTTCAGATACAGGCAATCTTCAGCTCAGAAAAATGAGGTACTTTGTATACTCAAAGCAGCCAGCAAGCAACTCGATTTGCTGTTAAGAGAATTAGAAGTTGACATATGACTTTACATTTGACCCCAAGTGTCTGATACTCAAGGCAAGTCTGATACTCTTAACACAAGCTTTTGAGCACATCTCTTGCTTTTAGGTTAGTCACTCTTGCATTAGACTGCAATACAGAGGATAAAATAACTTAGCACAGAATGAAGTGAGGCTGGATTCAGTGTGTCTATCTAACCAGTGGCAGTCATCTGTCTTTTCAAAACAGGCGGAGCACTCAGCCTCTGAATGCCGTTAACTCTCCAGGATCAGGTAGGACTGAACCCAGATCTCAAAGCATTCAAACTCTCTGAACAACAGAGGGTAAAGAATGCTTCAAATACACTTGCTTGGATTTCATGGACATGCACCAAATTAAAAGAAAAAAGCTTACTAAAAATATGCATCTTTATTCAAATAAGGTTATCTCCAAACTCCAAGTGTCAATTTACATTAGTCAGAAACAACATGAAAATGTCAGCTGTTTGAATTTAAGAAAACCCCAGTAGACAGTGTTTGATGTTACAGTAATTGATGCATTGATAAATGACAAATTTTCTTCAAACAGGAAGTTAGGTAATTTACAAAGCATATTGTGAATTTTACTTTTGAAAGGTTCAGGAGTGACCATGTATTTAATATACCCTGACCAGTACAATGAGATTCTCTTGTCACTGCCAAATATTTGCTACTTATCATCCACACTTCAAATACAATTATTAGACTTGTTCTCCCCCATATTGTCAAACTGGATTCCAAGGTGTCTTCTCCTTCTAGTCCCAAAATCTTACTTGGTAAAAATCAAACACACTATCAGTGCTGAAAGAAGCTTCTAGTAGCCAGTCATAACAGGAGGCTACATTGACTGACAAATATTCTTAAAGTCCAAATTTGTTGCTATCATTTCAATAACACACACAACAAAATTTGAGCTGGGCAACTGGGAGCTTTCCTTTGATCCAGTGAGTGATGAGGCAATTATGGAAGTTCCAAGGAGAGATGACTGTGAAATGAAGCATGAAGCAGTTATCACTTTTTGGATGTTACACTTTAGACCTTCTGCTCCCTAATACAAAAGTTTCCTAGTTGCACGTGGGAGATATGTCAGATCTGTTAGCAGCATAAAATACATAAACTGAGCCTCATACTGAAGATACAATTTTAGGTTCAAGTTTTCCCCTCAACACCATCCCCAGCCTTCTCTTTCTAACAAAAGACACAGAAGTATAGACTGCTCCAGCTTTAAAACAAAAGTTATGGTTGGATAAATTCACAGTAACAAGAAATACAGACTTCCTTCAATTGATACATTAGAGCTGTTCCTCATTATGCCAGATACATGCACCTACTTATCAAAATACAATTGCTAGCCTTTCTGTATAAAGGGTTTTGCAAAGCCTGCTGTGGGAGACAGAGTTCTCTTTAGGTGTTGCAATGATGCAGGAAGGCTTGCAATTGAAAGGAACAACAGTGTACATTTTCAGAACAATTTAAGAAAATGTATTAAGTTTAGTTAGAAGAGTCAGGGTTGTAGTAGCTTAGACTCAAGGCACCTGTAAATATTTGCTGGTGTTGACAGAAGAGAATGGATAAATTCCTGTGTTATTCTGGCTTATCTGAAAAGTTTTTTTCATTAGTTTAACCTATTTATCCAGCAAGATTAGCTTGAGGCAGTAGTTTCTCCAATCAATACAGCAAAATCTTCTCAAATTTAGAAATGAATCTATAAAGCTATACCACTTACAGTATACTACATACTGTAACTACATAAATAGGTGTGTAGGTAGTATTGTTCTATTGGTATAGCACAGATATCCACTTTTTGGACACTGTAAATTAAGTAACAAAATATATTGCATAGATTTATCATTTCTCCAAACTGACAGGCACAATACTGAAGTGTTCTTCACTACAGCGAATTTGGCAGCATGTGTTGCACTCCAAGGGAGTAGACGGTAGGAATGCAGTAGTAGTATGCTAGATTCCAGATAATTTTTGCAGATTCAGACAAACAGATTAGTAATTAAAAGTGAAACATCCTGATGCATTTGTGTATTTTATAGAATTTAAAAAAACCCAACCCCCCCCTTTCTAACTCTACACACAAACAACTCAAGGACAAAGTTACCACAGATATGTAAACAAGGCAAAATGAATTCATTTCACATTCCTAGTTTGGGCTATCTGCTTCATTTCTTTCCTGAAGCAAATGTTACCTGATAAGCAGTATCGAAAACACATGTTCAGTCTTAACACTTGTGATATTAAAAGCAGGAATTGACACACAATACTGGTTCTACAATAGCTGCTGGATTAACAAACATGTCTGAAGCAACAGCTTGTGAAGAAATGGGTTAATGCTAAATACCTGCAGTTTAGAATACTTGTCATGTCAAGATTTAAATCAAAGCATCTGTATTTGATACATGAAAGACACAAGACAGCTTTATAAAATAAAGACATACTCATACACTAAACATATCCTTAATAAAATCAGATTTGAAGACGTATAAAGCAATGATATCTTTGCTGAAAAAGTCCACAAATCTCCAAACAAAATTACAGGCAGACTTGAAACTACAAAAAAAGAAATCAGTCCCACAATATACTTGAAGAAACTACTTTATCATGTTTTCTCTCACTGCCTAAAACCAAAACCAAAACCCAAAAGAAGGAGATAAGCCTTTATTTGCTTGTTCTGTATCGCTTATTTTCTATATCAGGTATCAACAGTAAGACTGTTAAAGGCCTGTCTTTGCATCCACATATTAAAAAGCGTTTAAACCTGTGTTTCATGAAGAGTTGAACTGTTGAATCCAAGTGGTAAACAAATTAAATGTTTATAACAAATTTTTACACCCAGCCCCTGCCCCCCCCCCCCCCCCAATATAGTGAATAACAGTTGTTCGGGTTTTGTTTTTTTGGGGGGTTTCTTTTGTTTGTTTGCCTTTGTGTTTTTTTAAACCGATATGTCAGGACACTTAGTGGCAAGCTTTCTGCACAAATCATCCATCTGCAATTCTCATTATGAACAACCACCAAACCTGGGTGTTTCATTTCCCTCCTATGGAATCTTAACAAAAGAAGAGGAATATAGCATTTGCCTTCCAGTATTTATGAGAAAGTTAGCTGAAAACACAGACCTAGATAGGGTCAGCAGTCTTCCCCTATCTAGCATTTGCTCCACTGCTCCCCAGTCTGTTTTTAACTTTAGCATTAACAGCTTAAATGAGAACTCATTTTGTTGAACAAAATTCAATAATTTACAATATTGCAGTATATCAAACACTAAGATTTCCCTCATTTACAGAAGTGTATAATTTTCTGTGCATACATACTGCTGTTATGTACACACAAAAGGAACAGGTCATCAAAAGAACTTTTTGGCTGCTGCTTCTTGTTGACTCCTGAAAGAAAAAGCAGAAAAGAATTCATTAAGTACTTATAGTATAAAACTAGCTAACCAGTTTAAATGAATAAGTATTTCATTTATTTGGGATTAAAAGATTCCATTTCTTGTCAACAGAGACTTAGGAAAATAAAATGTAAGTCATATCTCAAAAGTAGGATATTATTTTTTCTACTTACAAAGACATTAGTAGCATCACTATAGTTCCAATTTTGTGTCAGACACAGAAGGAAACAAAACATTCTGGACAGAAGCCAGAAACTGTGAAAGAACATATGAGCTGATTTTTAAAATACTTTAACTAAAGTTTTCTAAAGCTTCTCAGTATCTGATTGGCCTAAAGATCATCACAGAAAAGGAAACACATACAACTAAGCAGTGAAAGAATTTACTTGAAATGGTATTTCCTTCTCCCTCTGGCACAGAACATACTTATTTTCTTAGTGGATACAGATGCTGTGGATCAACCACACACACATATACTAGAATTACAAGGGCATGAAGAGGAACTGGAGGGGACCACTCCTCATTTGTCTTGTAAGCCATCTTTCCAGTTGATGGCGTAACATGACATACATAAGAAATGCACACTCTCCACTTTGTAGAGAAGTGGACACACAATAAAAGTTAGTGCTATCAGCAGCATTGGTCTTACATTAATAGTAGTTATCCTTCCGTAGAGGTAGCAAACAGCATTTTCTCTCTTAAGGGCAATGCAGCTATTTTGGTCCCTACTCCTTATCCTGATTAGTGTGTGTGAGAAGCAGGATGGAAGACTACCAAGCAAGTCAGTCCTTACTCTCAATAGGTTTTCCCTTCCATCAATGCAAATTCAATTTGCACATTATGACATTAGAAGGAGGAGGAAGAGAACAGAGAAAACATCCCAATTAGCTTGGGGGGGGGGAGTCCATACACTATCAGTATCATATGTAGGAGAGGGATGAAGGGATATGTAATGTAAAAAAAGTTCACTGAGGAATTTGTAAGATGGGATAAGTAGCTTCTAGGTACACATAGCAAAAAAAGAAAAAAATCAAATCACATCAGATTTTGTTAAGATATTAATAAACTTCGGTAAGTCTGGCAGAGGACCACAAGGATGGTGGTCAAGAGCTGAAGCACATGCCTCAAGAGAAGAGAGGGAGGGAACTGGGCTTGTTCATCCTGGACTGACAAAGGCTTCGAGGGGTCTAGCAGCAGCCTTCTAATACCCACAAGATGTTATTGAGGAGACAGGGGCAGTTTCTTTACAGAGGTGTACATTAGATGTACATTATAAGAAAGAGACACAACAGTCAAATTGAAACAGGGCAGGCTCCCACTAGATATACCCTAGGTGTGGGGGGAGAATACAACAAACTTCATTATGATAATTAAACATTTCCAATGGGGTCTGTAACAGTGGTAAATTTTCCATTCTTGGAGGTTTTTTAAGACCTGACCAGTCTAAGCAACCTGGTCTGAATTCAGTGTTGACCCTGCTTTGAGCAGAAGGTTAAACTAGAGACCTCCTAAGGTCTCTTCCAATCTGAATGATTGCTTGTTTTAAAGAAGATTAACATAATCATACCATTGCAATTGCATTTCCAGTCAGAAGTTATAAAATCATTTGCCCTGTTGTCTTTAAACAAAAACATACTTACCTATACATGATATAACCAATGAATAACACTGTTTGCACCACTACAAATATGAAGAAGTGCATTGTAGATAAGCACGATGGAAACGGTGGCAAATCCGGACACTTTGATTTCTCACTAGATGGCTAAAAACCAAGAAAAATAATATTTGAGGAAAGAGCAAACAAGACATGCCATCAAAAGACCATTATATGTAAGAAACAAAACAAGGTCTTTGCAACACAACCTAAAAATCAGAACACAAGCAGAAAACAGACAGAAATTATGCTACTCTGAAAAATCATAACCTTACTCCCTGTCTCACTTTCCCCTTTCATGTTTATGTTTCTCAGATAAACTGACTGATGTTAATTTGAGGATTATAGGGGAATAAATAAGTCTTTGATAAATTAACCCAGAAATCAAGAACTTGAGAGGATCATAAGCTAATTCAGCCTAATTGCTACCTAGGCTAGACTAAGGTGCTCCTGAATGCGAATGCAGTCTTCTTTCACACTTGCAGACCTTAAGCAGAGCCTGCCTGAGTTTCCCCTGATTAAAGCTCTCCCTTCTGTCCAGAAGCAATAGAAAATCTCCTCTGTATAGAGCTGTTAAGTAGGGGGACAAACACAAAAAAAAGCACCCAGAAAACCTAATTGCTTGACCTTGTTTCCACAGGAAATTAGAGTAAAAATCATGCTCTTTGTGCAAAACTTCTCATCAAGACACAGATCATGCAGTTAGGTCAAGGCAGTGCAGTTTTAGTGAAGCAGCTTAATGAAGGATTAATTGCTCCGTAAATTGCATGCTGGCTCATCCTAGCTTTTCACTAACAGCCAAATAAAGAAGTATTACAGTCATGCTTTACTCTACCAGCACATAAATTACCATATTTCGTTGTACTAAATGCTCAATGTCCCTCTTTACTACATGAAGGTGTTCTTTGATGTCATTGAAGTGCTGAGTTGTTTCATAGACTCCTGCAGCAGAGCCAGGATGTTGGGCTCCACTGATCAGCCTCAGAGTATCAGCCATGGAATTTCTGAAACAAGACAAACAACAAAACATCTTTCAGCACAGAACAGCTTTCTTACAAACAGCAGTTGTTCTGGACACCTGTTAGTCCATTAAAATTAGTCTGAAATACATAGTTGCCCCAAAAGGCAGAAAACACATTTTCTAGCTTCCAAGAATACCTATCAAGAAATAAATCCTTAATCAAACTATTATTTTTTTAAAAAATATTTAATTCCACAGACAGTTGCAATTTTTACAGTGCACCATCTCCCAAAGCCACGCTGAAAACAAGATCTGGCAAATATTCTATTGTTGGACATCTGCTTTGCCTGACTGATGAGGTCTGAAACAAGTGTTTTATCTGAGGCTCTTGCGAAGGCTTTAGGATAAGCAGAGTTTAATGCAATCTTTGAAGAAAACCAAAAGCTGTTTGAAAAATAAATAAATAAAAGCAGTCATGTAAGAAATAAAAACAAAGAAGAGGCTTTAAGGATAAGAAAAGATTTAGATACATCCTTGTTTCATGATTATCATTTATACGAGAAACTCATTTCCCATATGTGTTGTCATAATACTTAATATTGTCTTCATGTGAACTCATTTTGCTTCTACAACAAATCAAATTAAATCTGTAAAAAGTTGAGGTTCCATAACTAATTTTGCTTGAGTTAGACTAGTCAATGAGAGAAAAAAAACTTTAATTTCTAATCAATATGTTTATATAATTTTCCCCTACTGTGATTTTTCTTTTCAGTTGCAAAGAGGATTATTCTACAGCTAAAATATTTATCATGTGAATGTTAATCTCTTCATTATTAATAAAATAAACAATCAAAATGTATGCCTTTGGATTTCTTTTTAATTTACTTAAAACTTTACATTTTGTTCAGATGAGAGCTTACTTTGATGCCTTCAAGGTGCAGTCCTAACTCTTTGTACAGTGGTCACCAATTTATCGTAGTATCATAGAATGGTTTTGGTTGGAAGGGACCTTTAAAGATCATCTGGTCCAATGCCCCTGCCGTGGGCAGGGATGTCTTTTACTAGATCAGGCTGCCCAAAGCCCCCTCCAACCTGGCCTTGAACACTTCCAATTTTAACTTTCACATAAGAGAAAAAAAAAAACCAACAAAAACCCAACCTGGCTTGAATACTATTCATTGAGTAAACTGGCAACAACAACAACATATAATCATATTTGTAAGTACTATAGAAAATTTTATTACTGATTTTTAAATGGCCATATTCATTGTGAAACGGCAAGTTATGCATCAAAACTTAAATGTTTACAAATAATCTTCATAAAGAGGTTGCCCATCTTTTAGCTTTGCATCAGTTGTTCTTCATGCCATTAAAATTCAAAAAACACAGAACTAAAAGACAGGAGAAAAGAGAAAACTAGTAAGGTACATATCTATTCAAAGGCACTATGACAACTTCCCAGAAGCAAAAATTGCAAGCATAGATACGCTATATTAGCATTATAGCAGCTTTTGCTCCATTGTAAGAACAATGCGGCATGTTTAAACTACTTGAAGCAGCAACATACTAAGTCAAAGCCACACACTAAATTAATCTACACAATTATATCAAGTTGCAGAAGCACCACTTCAACAGAGGCATTTAGTAATGCTGGATTAACAATATACTTTTCTTCAAACTGAAGACAACCAGTTTTTCTTAAAAATATCACTTTAACACACAAATCAACCTAACATACTAGACTACCAGTATTCTGCATACTTCCCACATAACTGAAAAAAAGTCTTTTCATTTCCAGTAACAAAAAGATCCAAGAACTCACCCTTTCCTGTCACCTTTGTAAAAGCTCAATCATACTTCCAGCACACATTAGAAGATCAATCACTTTCCACAGTTATACTTCCAGTTATTCCAGATAACGTTCTGCATTTTAGGCCAGATGGAGTTAGCCATGGATTTCTGCAAAACTCTCAACGTTTACCTCAATAAGATCATTTTTAATGTTGCAAAGGTATCAAAAGGAGTTACCAAAAACCAGCTGTTCGCTTCTGTAAGCCACTGCAAACAAAACTAATCAAAGCAGCTCTCACCTTCTCTCATTCTACATTTCTGGTTTGCAACTTAAACGCACAAAACGAATAGAAAAAAAATCCTCATCTGTCCTAACTTAAACTAGCATATACATTATCCAGAAATTATTTCATATTTTTGGATTGTCATTGTATAGATTATTTAAAGTAAATTCATTAATATTTACCTGTACTTTGAATTAGTGTTATAATAACCTACTTTAGAAGATTTTCACTGGAAGACTTTTTTTCTTAACCCACGCAAACCCATGCAACCAGCATCATGACCACTGCACACCCACCTCCCCCCAGACTGATCCACTGTTCGTTAAAAGCAAAGTAACTTCCCTAAATAGACATGGTCTGTATCAAATTTAATTTACATTTACTTTTGCATGAACAATACCATGCTGACAGTTGCTATTGTATGAACATGCAAGATTCTTCTGTAATCAGATGATTAAGAAATCCACAAATCTTGACATGAAAATTACTTAGACAGTAAGTCCTTTTCCTCCGGGATGACAAGCAACAGCGGGCTGTTCATTTCTATCTATAAATAAAGCATTTCTTTAATCTAAGAAAAATATTAAGATGATGTTACGCAAACTCATACCTAATAAGTAGTCACTAAAAGGGCAGGCTGCCAATGTTAACAAGAAAATCTAATTTGCTTGCAAGGTATAAAGATTTGTCAAGAATATTAACATAAAAGCTTTCGTGGAAGAACAAGTGCAAAAATGGAAGCACTCTAATCTTCATTCTACAAAAAACTGACCTACTTAGATAAATCACAAGAGCTGCCCTTTAACTAATACAGGAAAAAACCCACAACTGTAGGAATTGTTTTTCTCCTTTTTTTTTAAGCCCAAGGTAAGGAATGTTTTAACTACTATAAATGAAGGGTTAAACCAACTTAAAGCCATTCCTGCTAAAGACAGCAACTGTTATACGTCTTAGAAGCAGTACACAGACATCCCTATCAAACATAGGAATTTTCACAAATCCATTTTAGCAGTATAGCACCTTCGAGATAAGATTTTTACTTCATTTGGTAACACAGTTTGAAAAGGTACAGCATACCACTCAATTGATTTTAAAAACTGCATCTTAAAAAGCAAAATTATTAATCACTTGGGAACTTGCAAGTATCCCTACAGATACGTAAGTTTCCTGAGGAATTTCACTGGCAGAAAGCCCTCTTACAAAAGACCAAAGCAACCAACCAACCAAAACACACACCCCATTTTCCTCCAACCTACAAGAAATGGGGACAAGATTACTAAAATGGTCTACACAATACATTGGCACACAAAAGAAACACATTTCTGTCTTCACTATGCAACGTCAGTGACAGTAATTTAATATTACACTGCTTTTTTTTTCCTCCCCTGAAGTACTGTATGACAATGCCTTAACACCTAACAAACCAAGGAATTTTTAGTCACAGTTGGGTTTCCAGTGTCTCCAAGGGTGAAGACTGCAAAACCTTCCCAGGCAACCAACCTATTCCAGTGTTCAACTACCCTCACAAGTTTCTTTTCTTATGTCTACATAAAATTTCCTGTATTTCAGTTTGTGCCCATTGCCTTTCATTCTGTCACTGGATACCAGTGAGAAGAGTCTGGCTCTCAATCACCCTTACCATCTCCAAAATCAGGTATTTATACCCATTGATAAGATACCCGCAAGCCTTTTCCCGAGGCTATGCAGTCCCAGCTCCCTCAGCTTCTCTTTGTATCAACCCTTTAATTTAAATTTTCATGATCCATCACTTGACTCTCCCCAGTACGTCCATGTCTTTTTCATACTGAGGTGCCCAGGACTGGACATAGGAGTCCAGATGTGGTGTCACCAGTGCTGACTAGAGAGGGGGAATCATCTCCCTCGACCCACTGGCAACGCTCTGCATAACAGCCTAGGATGCTGGTGGTGGTCCTTCCCTTAGGTGGTGATCTTTCCTGTAAGGTGCATTGCTTTCCAACGTCCAACTTGCTGTTCACCAGGATTCCCAAGTTCTTTTCTGCAAAACTGCTTTCCAGCTATCAGTCCCCTGGCTGTACGGATGGAGTTACTCCTTCATAGGTGCAGGACTGTAGAAACTGGACTTCTTGTCCCCTTATTTTTCAAAGTTCAGGCCAAGAGAGGACATTAATATTTTCCAGATCTGGCCCTTGTTTCAACTGCCATCAAGAAGCAATGCTCTCCCAAGGCCTAGCCCTACTGCTACTGATAAAAAGACGTTAATCTACAATGGAAATGGGGAAAAAAAAGAAGAAAGAAAAAAAAAAAGAAAAAAAGAGAGGCCTCTCCAAGGCTTGTACACACTGAAATTCTGAGAGACTTGACATAAAACTATAAATACTTTTTATGATACACAAATCAGTAACACTAACAGATGACTATGGAGCAATAATCAATATATAAGCTTTAACCATTCATAGCAAAATTAGGGGAAAAAAACCCAAACCAAAATACATGTCTATATTGAAGACAGAAGTGAACTACTTAATAATAATCAGAATAACCAATACGTCTCAACAACTCCTATTACATGCACAGACATTTTCATTTGTGCAGAACTACTTCTCAGAATTACTTACATACCTTTACAGGTTGTTTACACTAAACAAAACCTCAAATATATCTCATATAATATTATCTAAATATAATATTATAGATTTTTTAATAATAATAATAATATAGAATAATAAACTCATATAATCATTATATCAGGAGTAGACTAAGTGTATCGACAAGATACACCAATACACCTTTTTTTTTTTAGGTTCACTAGCCATAAATCAAAGGCATTTATGCTCATGTTGTTATCATTACTCCAAAATCAGAGCAACAATTTTCCGTGAGGTAGCAGGTTATCACATTAGCAGAAATTGATTGTTTTTGGAGGGACTGGACTTAGCTGTTGAAGTGGAATCTCATGATAAAAAAAGAGGCAAATTAGGGTGTTTAGCCACCCCAGGGACATGAACTTACTTTATTACAGAAACTAAATGTATGCAGAGAGTCATCACTAAGGAACTGACACAAAGAAATTTTTTGTCAATATTCTCTTACTGAAATAATAAATAGGATTTAAAAGGTGGAAAATAATATAAAATTCAAAACACAGCCTTAATATTTAGAAAGCGTTTACCTTATTTCATTTACTTGTCTAATGACCTCTTCTTGAGTTTTCACAACTGTCTCAATCTCTTGCTGGGAAACCTGGTAGGGGTAGGAAGGGAGAAAAAGATCAACCTATCTTGGAAAAAGTAAATTAATCATGCTGCTCAAATTAGGCTGAGACATCAATCACGGTGGTGTGGGGGGTTTTTTTGTTGTTTTTTTTTTTAATTTACCTGTCCTTGTTGACTTGGAAAACCAGCTCCTCTTTTAGCAATCTCATCTGTGACTGCAGAGACGTATCTCCTCTGCTCATCCAAAATCATGTCCAATTGCCTATTAAGCTGTTTGATTTCAAGATGAATTCGATTCTGCCCCTCAAAGATTTGCCTCAGTTCACGATCACTTACAGTTTCAAAAAGATCCTCTGCTGCTAAGAAAAAAGCACAGGTAGTTCTTACATATATGCATTCCTCATAAGTTGCATTGCATCATTTTTCTTGCACCCTTAAAGTTTCCACGTGGATATACTTTTTTCCTGTAATTTCATATATTTGGTGTTTATTTATCACCATTGCCATGGCAAAGGATACCCAAATGGGATCAGAATGACTGAATAGAGACAACCCCACATTCAAACCCAGACTCCATCTTAGAGTTCCTATTTCAATACTTGGGCAATGTGCAACATAAAATGGAAACAGGATGCCGTTGTTATTAGGAGGCAGCTATCTTTGCATGAGCTAGCATTGTATTACCAACTATCCTTCACAAGAGATTTGCAGGTACTAAGTAACAGCTACTTTTTCGAAAAAGTAAGCTCGAAAAAGTAGCTTGAAATAGAGAAGTGACTGCACATTTTGAGTGAGTTCCTCTGCAGCTTCAACATCATCAGAAAGAAGAAAGTCCAAAAGACTCTGTGACAAAAAAGATTATTATTTCTTATCAATGGAAGGCTGGACAATATTTCAAAAACACAGATGAAGATAAAATGGTGTAGGACCTTTAGAACAGTTATAACTTATCACTATGCAAAAAAGGATGACAACCTGAAATGTCAGGTCTAGATGCCTAAAGCACATTCCCAATATGTGTGCAAATACAGTTAACTGAATCCACAAAGGTAAGAAATAGACTGGCTTCCACTGTATTTTCAAATAAGCAGATTCTTTTTTGCCCAGCTTTTTAAAAACAAAACAAAACAAAACAAACCCCAACCCACGCAAACAAACAAAATCCCCACCATGTTCCACAGCAGAACAATCAAAGTCAAAGCACTTTGGCTAAACGCTCAAAAAAGTGGGCAACAGTCATTCTTGTAATTTTCCTAAATTAAATATAATTTGAAACCAGTGGAAAAATGCTGCTCAAGTCCGAAATATCTTTAAACCAATACTTGCTGAGAGCTACCGATGTGTGGTATCAAAAGTGGAAAGGGCAATTCTGCCTTACCCAGCCAAACTTCATCTTTTATCAATAGCTTAAAATGTAAAAAATAAAGGCCATGGTTTTTAAGAACATCAAGCTGGAAATCTGGTTATTAGCCAACCTGAATACCAGCACTGAATGCCAGCTAAGGCTGTGGTGCTGAAGTGTCCAATATTAGGCAAGCATTAAAAAGCTTTTCCAAGTAAGCACATGTTCCAGCATATCCACTAGCCTGTCTTTAATAACCACCCATAAAACAAGATGGGGTGGGAGAGTGGGGGGGAATAAAAATGTTTCTTATGAATGTGCAAGAACAGACCAAAAAGATAACCTTTCAAATAACAAAAAATGCCATGCTTCCTTAATTATCACTTTACAGAAGGAAGCATGACCTTCTCTCCCTTCTACTATTCCATACAGATTCTCATCGTTCCCATCATGTTTCTGTTTGTTTATTTTGTTCTCAATCCAGGCATGACAAAAGGGACTTTATATTTCAGAAAACACTTTACAAACAAAAGACCAAAGATCCTTAAATGAAGTAAATAACATCAGTAGGAGCTTAGTAAGATCAATCAGAGTATCAGGCTCTAGTTCTGGACATCCCAGAAAGCAAATGTTTTCCTTGACAACTGAAAAATCGCTCACATAACTTGCCTGGCTGTCCTTGCACATCAGGATGTTCCTTTTGAAATTCTTCCTTCTTTTTATCCAATTCTTGTTGAAAGTGTTCAAACTCTTCTTGATACTTCTCTTTATCTTTTTGAGGAATTTCTGCCTCTGGTGTTGGCTTTAAAACATTAGGGGGGGGGGGGGGGGGGGCGGGGAGGGGTTTTTTTTTTATTTTCCCCCACTCCAAGAAGGCTGTTCAGATTTCAGATTTGAGGACATAACACAATTAGTGGAGTACATTAATATATTAAGTTGAAGTGAAAAACTAGACATTCCTATGGAGACCCATAGCTTTTTCCTAACATATGCATACTTTCTGCGATTAAAAAGAAATCAAGTTTTATAAGGATAGATACTGTTTAGCAGTACAGAACTGTTCTAGAGGTACAGGAAGTTGAAAGCAAGAACAGATTATTTGTCCACTTTCCGAACAAAGCAGACTTTTTAGTTTGCTTTCTCTGCATGTTTTGATTTAACATCGGGATCTTTGTTGATTCAGCGTTCCTTCAAGAATTCTGGTCTTGAAAATGTTAAATAAACATTACAGTATTAGTCTCACTTTTCTTAAACAGATGACAGCACAGCTACATGCCAAAATCCTGAAACTGGGATGCCAAGTATGACTTCAGAGGAAATGCCATAACCTGGTGCTACATATAAAACATACAATAATATATTTTACTAATTATGCATAAAGATGCTTACTACTTCCTTCCCAGGCTCAGTCAGCTGGAAGGTCAGAAAAGACAGGACATCATGATCATCTGTATTCAACAAACAAAACAAAAAAACCACTGTTAATTGCTACTGCTACACATTACAAATCCTAGTACTTCCCAAGTCAGCCTTGCACTTGCAAAGGATCTTCAGGCAACAGCACCCTCTTGAAGTCCTTGCAAGAGTTTATGCATTGAAGAATGAGACTGCACAATGTCTCTGTCAGGGCAAATCAGAAGACTTTCTGCCCTAGTCAGGAAAAGGCCTAAGCATATCAGTAATTTGGGAAAGGAAAGGATTAATTACATCATCATGGTCAAAAACTGGTATAATGGATCTACACTAGCAGTAAAAAAAACCCAAACCCTCTCTTGCAAGCCCTGCAAGTCCCCACACCATTTGTCACAATTTTTAACATATGCTACCTGCAAGGCCCCCTGTTGCTGCAGATATTCCAAAATATCCTTGTGATGGCAACACCATATCTTCCACTTTTGCACAAAATTCATAGTCTTCTTTATCCGGAGTAAAGCCATTGTTAATTAATACCTAAAAGGATAAACACTTAAAATTTTTACCACATAAATCTATTTGCGTTAATTGCTTTGTCAGTTTACAGTAATGGTCACAAATCCAACTTATCAGGTAATTCAGCAGCTGGTACTAGAAACCAAAAACTATTTCTTTTCTGAAAGGCACTTTTTACAAAGAAAATGCATAAGCTTTCTATTTTACAAAGGAAAAAAAGGCCTGATTCAAGGTTCAGCATGAACATAACTCAACATTTTCTACTCATCACCTACAAGGAAATACCACATAGAATTCAGACACATATAAAATGTATTCATTTCAGTTTTAAGAAGCAGCAAGACAAATTAGTGCATGGAAATGAACACATGGGGGAAAGCGGTACCATCAGGAGAGGTGAAGGTAAGCCAAGGGACAGCACAGCACTGCCTGAGGGTGCTAGTGGGAGCATTTATGCTGTTCCAGGGAGCGCTGAGGGTTTAGGAGCACATCTGAAATGCTTGTACACCAACACATGCAGTATAAGCAACAAACAGCACAAACTGGAAGGGTTCCTACATTCCCAGAGCTACAATGTCATTGGTATTAGTGAGACTTGGTGAAATGAGTCCCACAAATGGAGTGCTGGGATGGACAGGCAGGGCAGGCAAGGTGGAGGTGTTGCACTGTATGTAATGGAGAGGTTTGACTGTACAGCCCTTACCTACACTTACAGGTGACGTGGTTGGGAGCCTCTGGGTGAGGATTAGGAGGATGGAAAACAAAGCAGATGTCGTTGTGGGCATCCACTATTGATCACCCAGCCAGGATGATAGCACTGATGAGTTATTTTATATGCAATTAGGAGAAATCTCTGGATCAGTAGTCCTTGTCTTTATGGGAGATTTCAACTTCCCAGGCATCAACTGGGAATACCATACTGCTGTGACAAGCAAGTCTGGGAAACTTCTGAAGAGGAAGATAACTTCTCATCACAAGTGCTCAGTGAGCCAACTAGGAAAGATGCCCTCCTAGATTTGTTTGTGAATAGAGGAGGACTTGTGGGAGGTGTGATGGTAGGTGGCTGTTTTGGCCACAGCAATCACAAATTTTTGGTATAATGAGAAAAAAGGTCACCAGAGTTGCTACCCTGGATTTCAACAGAGCAAACTTTAAGCTACCCCGGGAGCTATTTAGCAGTGTCCCCTGGGAATCTACTTTTGAGGACTTAGGGGTCCATAAGTGTTGTCAGGTGGGTTTTTTTTTTGTTTGTTTGTTTTTGTTTGGTTTTTGTTTGGTTTTCTTTTAAGAACCTTGTACAGAAGCAGGCAATCCGATCATGTCAAAAGTCAAGCGAGCAGGGCAGACAACCAGCTTGGCTGAACAGTGAATCCTCTTGGAACTCAAGAGGAAAAAGAAATTGTGTATCTCTGGAAGCAAGGTCAGGCTTCACAGGAAGATTACAGAGCTGTGGTTTGCATATGCAGGGAGAAGACACAAAAGACCAAAGCTCAACAGGGTTGAAACTGGCCAGTGTTGCGTCAGACAACAAGAAAGGATTTTTAATTATGTTAACATCAAGAGGAGATCCGAGCAAAACATTGGACCAATACTTGTTGAAGATGGTCACCTGACAAATAGGGATGAAGAAAAGATGGAGGCATTAAACTCTTTTTGTGCCCCAGTCTGTACTAATTCTGATAGACCTTGGGCTGCCTGGTCCTCTGAGTTGGAGGACCACAGCTGCATGAGCAGTGCATTTCCATTTGTGGACACTGAAATTATAAGGGACCAGTTTATTGGCTGAATGTTTGTAAGTCCATGGGGCCAGATGGGATTCACCCCAGAGTACTGAAGGAGCTAGCGGATGTTACAGCAGGACCCTCTCAATCATCTACCGAAGGTCTTGGGAGTCTGGGGAGGTCACTGCTGACTGGTAACTAGCCAACATTATTCCAATGAACAGGAAGGGTGCGAGGGAAGACCCAGAAAACTACGGACCTGTTAGTCTAACCTCAGTGCCTGGAAAAATTAGAGCAAAGATGATACTGAGTGCTATGGAAAGGCATCTAAAGAACAAAGCAATCATCAGGCACAGTCAACATGGGTTCACGAAGGGGAAGTCCTGTCTAATTAATTTGATATCCTATGATAAGGTCATCCACCTAGTGGATGAAGGGAAGGTGGTAGATGTAGTTCTTCTGGATTTCAGTAAGGCTTTTGATACTGTCCCTCCCAGTATCCTTCTGGACAAGTTGTCCAGCTGTGAGATGAGCAGGTTCATGGTGCGCTGGGTGAAGAACTGGCTGAACAGCAGGGCTCAAAGGGTTGTAGTGAACGGGGCTACATCTGCCTGATGACCAGTCACCAGTGGTGCTCCTCAGGGCTCAATTCTAGGGCCAGAGTACTGTTCAACATTGTTATCAATGATCTGGATGCGGGAGTTGAATGCACCCTTAGTAAGTTTGCTGGCAATACTAAACTGGGAGGTCCTGTTGACTCAAGGGACAAGAGGCCTTGCAGAGGTATCTAGATAGATTGGAGCATTGGGCAATCATCAATGCCATGAAATTTACCAAGAACAAATATTGGATTCTGCACCTCAGACAGAGTAACACTGGACACAATATAAATTGGCAGGAGGAATAGCTGGGGAGTAGCCCTGCAAAAAGGGATCTGGGGGTGCTGGTTGACAGTAGGCTTGACATGAGTCAGCAGTGTGCCCCAGTGGCCAAGAGGGCAAACCACATCCTGGGGTGCATTAAACATAGTATAACCAGCTGGTCAAGAGAGGGGCTTATCCGACTGTATTCAGCACCGGTGCAGCCTCACCTTGAGTACTGTGGGCCTCACAGTTTTAAAAAGGATGTTAAGGTACCTGAATGCATACTTGAATGCAGAGAAGGTCAACAAAGCTGATGACAAGACTGGAAGGCATGACCTGTAAGGAGTGGCTGAGGACTCTGGGTTTGTCTAGTTTGGAGAAAAGAAGGCTGAGGGGTGACCTCATTGCTCTCTACAGCCTCCTGAGGAGGCCATGTGGAGAGGAAGGTGCTGAGCTCTTCTCCCTGGGATCCAGTGATAGGACACATGGGAATGGTTCAAAGCTGTGCCAGGGGAGTTTTACACTGGACATTAGGAAGCATTTCTTTACAGAAAGGGTGGTCAAACACTGGAACGGGCTTCCTAGAGAGGTGGTCGATGCCTCGTGCCTGTCAGGTTTTAAGAGCCATTTGGACAATGCCCTTAATAGTATGTTTTAACTTTTGGTCAGCCTGGAAGCGGTTAGGCAGTTGGACTAGAAGATCTTTGTAGGTCCCTTCTAAATGGAATTATTCTGTTCTATTCTAAAACTGATCATAGCATAATAATAGCAACTCTGGTTCAAGAAATCCCCGACTTGGGGATCATTAAAGGCCAGTCTGTCAGAAGTATACATCCCAAAAAGGTTCTGGGCAACACAGATTTTTGGTCTGATCTAGAAGAGTCATCCCTTACTGTTATTAGGTTGATTCTAAGCTTCAGAGAGATTCTCTCTTCCTCTACGGATACATTTGCAGGACTGCTAAAGTTAGCAACAACATCTGGGCCAGAGGAGTTCCTAGATAAGGCATCAGGAACCAGCCGCATTCAAAAACAGAGCAGCCTAGGAGTCTAATTTAATTTTCATTCAAGAGTAACAGATAGCTTTTACCATTACAACACAGTACAAGGTCCACTCTCTTTTAGGTGCATTCATGTTTACTTTTAGAGAAACTTTTACTACAAAATGACAGCTGTGTGTTTTATGGCTAATACCTATCAATAGCACCTTTTCAGAAATCAGAAGCCAAGAAACACACACTTCATAGCTGTCACAACCCAGCACCACATTAATATTTTTTTCTCCTTATCTAAAAGGAATTCACAATCATCTGAATATTAGAAAAATCTTAAAGACTCCGTTATACCAGTGGTTTTCTACCTTCTTTAATCTTCAAAGCCCTACTACTTCTTGGAGGTGGGAAGCCTCAAGTAACAAATTTAAATCTACTGCCAAAGAGCGAGCTTCAGTTTTTTAGTCACATTTCAAGAACCTTTTACAAACAACTACAAAACCCTCTGCAACTCTCAGATCAACTTGAGAAATACCATTCAAATTAAGGAGCTGCTCAACCACTTGGAAGCTGAGGAACAGATTCTGGCTTTGGGACACCTCTACAGGCAAGTCAACAGCAACAGAAGGGTCTGAGCACATAGGAGTATGTTAGCATGACTAACTCCTAAGTAACATCAGAAAAATCAGCAGTACCTGCTGAGTCAGCTCAGGAAACTACAGATGCACTAACGCAGCTACAAGAACTTGTCTAGCATTTGAACATACTGCACCTCCTTCCAACTTCTGCTACTGAGCTCAACATTTTCAAGAATATTGGAATTAAAATACAGGGTCTTTGGGTTTTCACATAGTTGCAACAATTGCACGCTTAAAAAGCTGAGAAACATGAGTAATTATGTTATTTCAGAGTACTTACAGTCAATGTTTTTTGGTAGTATGTTATCTTTACTCGAACAGGATAGGGCTTGTTACGAAAGTCCCTCTGACAGGATGCCAATGCTTGCGTTGAACCATCACTATGCAAGAAGACAACTTGCATAAAACTATATCTTATGATTTATCAGCTAAGACAAAAAAGCATCAATGTATCACTAAGCAACATCATGATAAGTTTTTCAATATGCAAGTTTTTAAAAAGCTGTCCCACAACTGCACTGAGCTTTTTTGAAGTCTGGGATCAACAGTACTAGATGCTTTACACAGGACACAATATAGACAGAATGCAGTAATGGGGAAATCTGTTTGCTTCTAAGATATATTCCCACACCTGTGAACTGAGATGGAAATAAGCTACAGTCTGGACTGCACCAACTAAGCTAGACATCTCTCTTCTCAGAGAATCCAAAGAGATGTCAGTTGTGCTGTTGACAATAAACAATCAGAAATCAAAATTAAGCCAATTAATTTTAGTAACAGGCAATTAGCTTTCAGTTAGTCACTTCTGTCAGTTATTAGCTGTGTGTGGAGGATACCCATAAGCAACGAAGAGGTAAAAAGTTTGCACCTCCATTTATCTGAGTTCACTCATCCCAAAGGGCATATGCCATTTAAATAACTATCAGTGGTCAATTTCTGTGCTGTTACTGCCAAAACAGTGTTTTAACAAATAGAAAAACTCAAATGTAAAGGCAATGAAGTTTCATATGAAAGAAACCTTCATAATGTTTCTCAAAGAGTTTCATGCAACATTTCATCATTCAAAAGCAAACGTTCATCATTAACACTGAAAATAAACTTACTTCTGATGGTCATACAGAAGTTTTCCATTGTTGCCTACAACAATCACTCCAGGATTGTTTTTCTAGAAAAAGAAATAGCAAACAAATGAAATAGTTTAATTTGAAGTGAAATATAAGTAACATCACTGATAGACTTTCTGCAATAAAGCACCTAAAGTCATTACACTACATATACACCACAGATGTTTTTATTCTTTCTGTACTTGAGGATTACATAAGCAAAATGACTGAGTAGCACTGTGCCACGCTGCATGTTTTTCAAGAGACTGCTACATTCTTTGCATAGTTAAGGGTGAAAAAAACCCACAAATTAAGTCCCTGGATATACTACCAATTACTATACTTTGAAAAATACAGAAATATTAATTTCTCCTATTTGTGGCTTTTATATGCAGTGAAGATACAGATCTTGAAACTAATAGACGGCTTAACACATCCAACTTTGGCTACATAACACTGGGAAAAACATCCAGACAGACACTATGTTGACATCCTACTGACCTTGTCACAGTCATTAGAAAAACCTCAGGAGCTATCTGTCAGAGACTAAACAAAGTCTGTTGAACACATCCTCAGTTATTTAAATTGTTAGAGGATGAGAACAAGCTAAAATGATAATGGCAAAACAGATTTACAATGCTATTCCAGTTGCCTCCAGGAGTTTATGAAGCGAACTCCAGTTTTTACAAGAGCAGAAGATTTCAGAGTTCATCTCTCTTCCCCCTTCAACATTTCAATTCAACATCTCCTAAAGTGTGCTCGTTTTGGCTAGGATTGAGTTACATTTCTTCGCACTAGATTATACAGGGCTATGTTTTGGATTTATGATGAAAACAGTGTTGATAACACAGCAATGTTTTAGTTATTGCTTACACAGCCTTAGGGCCTTTTCTGCTTCTCACAGTCCCCCACCAGCAAGGAGGCTGGGGGTGCACAAGAAGTTGTGAGGGGACACAGCTGGGACAGCTGACCCCAACTGACCAAGGGACATCCCAGATCATATGGCATCATGCTCGGCCATAAAAGCTGGGGGAAGAAGGAGGAAGCAGGGGACACTCAGAGTTATGGCATTTGTCTTCCCAACTTCCCCACTTGTTACAAGTGATGGAGCCCTGCTGTCCTGCAGATGGCTGAACACCTGCCTGACAATTGGAAGTAGTGAATGAATTCCTTGTTTTGCTTTGCTTGAGTTCACACCTTTTGCTTTACCTGTTAAACTGTGTTTATCTCGACCCCCAAGTTTTCTCACTTCTAGCCTTCTGATTTTCTCCCTCATCCCATCAGGGGGTAGCAAGCAAGCAGCTGTGTGGTGCTTAGCTGCCTACTGGGGTTAAACCACGACATAAAGGAATATACTGTCCCACTAGACAGATCGCCAGCTCTTAAGAAAAGAAAACAAGACTCAGACTTCAAGAATTCAAGAAATAACATCCTTCTCAATTCACAGTGGTGGGGTAGGGTGGTCCTTTGTCTTAAAAAAAAACCAGCACAACCAAACTATCTGTTTCTTTTCCTTCATCACATGGATTGTGACAACAACAGAACAGTACACCAGTATACACAAATACACCAGTGTTTCTACTTCTCAGCAATGGAGTTCGGTTAGCTTAATTGCTTCAACATCAGTATTATCTGCTCAGTACCACTGGAATGCTTTAATGTCATCTTCTTGCTGTTTATTTCAGTTTAATAACAATAATATTGAATTAGTTCAGAGCACACTTGCATATATTCTCCACAAAGCACGTACAAACTGTTCAATTTCAAAGCATTCATGAAAGCAACCCAAGCCTAATCTAACTTAGAGCATAGCAGACAGCTACTAACAAGAGTATTTAATGCTAATGGTCAATGGGCAGTCCAATTTCTGCTGGGGATCATGTCCGCACGCAAGCACATACAAGAACTTGAAAGATAGTAGAGAATCCAAAGTGGGGAATAACTTCTCATTTTTTGCCTCTAAAGGTCACAGGAAAGATGCGCTGTAACCTCTTGTGACATTTAGTGTGGTTTTTACTATTTCAGGTGTTCGAAGCTATGAAATTTTATTTCTTTTTTTAAAAAGCTCTTGTCACTACTTCTACAGAGAAATAAAAATTCAACTCTAGTATAACCTACAGCCTTGGAAGGAAGAGGAAAAAAGGCTTTGCAGTTTTTAGATCAGCATCATAAGCAGGGTGCTCTGAGTTGGCAGTACTAGATGGATTCTGCTTCTGGATGCTAGCATATTAGGCTAAGGACCAGTTACAGCACCAAACATCTTCCAGTGAACGCACTGAAACAGCAACAAGAAGAATTTCTCCATACTCGGACTGAAGAAAGTAACAGGTTGTCATTAAAAAAAAAAAGTCTTACAAACTCCAGTATTTAAGACACATCACACCAATACAGGCACGAAGTGACACATCATCAATTTCTATAAAAGGGTTTCATACCACACTGACTAAACTTGTCATGATCAGAGTCCCAGTGCTATCAAATTCTAGCAGCAGTGTTGTCCACATGCAATTTTTGGTAGATGGCATCTTCAGCCACCTAAACTACAACAGTGTCCATATTCATGCCAGAAGTCAGGGGAAAAAAAAAAAAAAAGGCGGGGGAGAATTTAAAAATTCTTAAAAAGTTGAACAACACTAATTCTATGTCTTGTCTTTGAAGATCAGAAACATAAACATCACCTTCAGTCTTTTAACTTTTATATATGATGAAGTTTGCTGTATATCAAAAACCATCTGTAGGAAAAAAACTTGTACACCTACAAAAATGTACCTAAAACATCTAAAAGCAAGCCAAAGTAGTGCAGGAAAAGCAAAAAAAGCAAACCTACTATGTACTGTTAAAGTTTCCCAGGATCATTCTGGACTGAAAAACTAGAATTTCAAAACAGCAACTGTCACCCCCATCTGCTACAGAATTTTTGCTGCTGAACTACTCAAGGCAGATTTGTTTCAAGAAAAAGAGCATCTGTGAAGAGAGACATAGAAATTTGTGCTTTCACAGTGTCATATTTTGGTACAATATGCCTCCTCCAAAGCACAGGCCTTCAGATATATCAACATTTCAAATTGTGCATGGACATTCCAAATTTCAGCTTGTACATAAGTGCATGGTATTTTCCCTCCAAACCTTATACATGAACCAATGTTCAGGGGAGGTTCACTATGCGTCAACTTTGAAGCTTAAAAAAAAAAAAGTGTGAAAAAGTCAAGTAAAAATTCTATAAGGGAAACTTGACTATTTTAATTTATCCCTTTGAAGTGAAGGGGGGGAGAGCAAGAAAATAACATCTTATTTTTTTCTACAAAGTTATATGTACAAAACAGGCAGGAAATTAATTTATAATCTTTGCTAGAAGAGTTTGCTTCTGACTAACCTTTCCATCATTGTCAAAGGAATCAAAGAAAATTCCAACACCGTTCCACTTATCAGCTGCCCCGAAAACAGGACCTTCCAAGCCTTGCTCTTCTGCAAACCAGATTGCCTATTACAGAAAGCAAGTAAGAGTCATAAGTCAAGATGCAGTTTTTAAAGCACATCTACTTCTTCTGAGTTAGATCAAATTCTGAATACCAGTCCATCAGCTCCAATGCGGCCTCTTCCTGTAACTCGAAAGGTGACTTCGACTTCCCAGTATTCAAATATTGACTTGGTTTTTGTCCACACTGACCCTCTTTGGCTTTTCAAAGACGTTGTTATACGAATCTGATCTGCACTTGGTATGGCATCTAGAAAGGAAAGGAACCAACACCACATATATGACAGTATGGCAAGTGCTTAACCAGCCAATTAACAAACCTTCTAAACTCACAACATTTTCTGGCCTCCTCAACTAGAACACAGTTTTCAAAATAACTTTTCAGTGGAGTACTCAACCACTTGAGAGGGGATAAAAAAACCCTCAAACCCCCACACCTTTACTTTCAACACCTTGATTATTACTGCTTTACAGAAGACTTAATCACCTTCCACTTGGGACCACAATGTACAACTTAAATAGAACATTGGTCTTACTGTTAAAATATATATTAATTAAAAAAAATAGGTTTAGCTTTCTGCTGTATCCCACGAGACTTTTTACAAACCATAGTTTTCTGTTTTGCTTTTTAAAAACAGACGTTCTAATTTTCTGTTTAATAATCTAAAAGAATAATAGGCATACATCTAGAGCTAGATTCATTCACTTGTATTAAATAACATTTATTTCTGTGATTATCTGCTTAAAAAAGCAGGACAAGAAGCTCATCTATAGACAGTTCCCTTCATGTCACTTGTAGCATAATGTCAAATAAGAGTCAAAAATTAACACTCATGCATTAACGAATATAAACTGAATTAAAGTCTGCCAAGAAATAAAAACACAGAAGTTACTGCAGAGAAACTATGCTAAGGTAGAACCTTATGTACAGTAAATATCAATACATTTTACAAGAGGGGCAACTTACAGAAGACCAGATGCCTTTTTGAGTACTATCAAATTCTTAACCCATACTGCAAAGGATACATAAATTGCATATACTGTGTTCGGTAAAGTCATATTTGCCAAGGCACAATTTCCATTTCAAGCTTTTATATTACGAAATTCAACAGGTTTTCTAGCCATACAGAAGTATCAGCGGCTTGTCTCAGGTACACCACAGAGGGCTGAGGCCGACTTTCATTTTGACCAAGTGACACATCATCACTTCACAAAGAAGAGTTTCACACCGTCTCGAGTCAACTCCTCACAGCAATGGAGCCACCCCGTCGCAAGAAAGGTCACAGGTAGCTTCGCGTATCAAAGAAACAGGGGGAGGACTGGCAGACATTTTACGGCTGTCACAGCATCTCTGTCCCTCCAGAGCTACGCGGAAACCCGCAGGAGAGGGCCCCGGAGGGGCGCCGGGGTCACGGCCGGCGCTCGAGCCTAACGGCGCTCTCGGTCCGCCCCCGCCCGCGGCAGGGCTCCGACGGGGGAGACAGAAGGCGCGGGGGGCAAGCGCGGCTCTCATCCCTTTCGGCAGCTGCAGGACACGAGGGCACCCGCCACTTTCACCCGATGCCTTGGCGGCCCCCGGAACCCAACCAAGGCTGACCGGCCCCGCCGGCCCCCGCCATCTTCGCCGTGCCCCTCAGCTCCCCGGCCACGGCTACGGCCTGTGGCGGTTCCTTCCCGCACCCTTTTTCCTCAAGTAACGGGCATTACGTGCCCCCCCCGCGCGGGGCCGGCCACAGCTGCCTGCACGGCAGGAACACTGCGCGGCCCAGCCGGCCCCGCTCGCACGCCGCCGCCCCCCGCCCAGCACTTACTGCCCGTGTGCACCCAGAACGGCACCGTCCCATCCGCCTGCACCAGGTGCGGCCCCTTGAAGCTGTACTTGTACTCAAAGCGGCGGTGCGGCAGAGCAGCTGCTGCTGCTGCTGCTG